CAGACTAATGCAGACAAGATGCAAGTTTTATCAGCAAGGAAAAATAACCCTAGAGGCAATTTATGTGAGGGTGTATTGGATTCTGCCTCATTTGTAGCTGTTATTCAAGATTGGATGTCTGTCTAGTAGATGTAGTGTAGCATGAACAGAAGCTGATTTAAAAAAAAAAAAATCATTAGGTGTCAAACAGGTCATGATCCATTCTGGCCTTAAAAATCAGTGACGATCCAGCTATCCTGAAGTTGTGCAAACATTTCTGGTATTTTAGGTCAGTCAGTAATCTGGTTGCCTGGGCAGGGGAATCACAAACCATAGCTTCTAAAGAAGATGCTAGATTTTTTTTTTAAAAGATGAAACTAAATATGTTTAAGTGTATGGTATGAATTCATCAATAGCTTGGAATTTAATTTAAAGAAGATATATAGTGAAACAGCATAGTTTGCATTGAAGAACGTAAAGTACTTGCAGGAGAGTTCATCTTCCTATGCTGGAGGAGGCAGCCCACCTATACCTTTAAAAAAAATTGTAGTCAGTAAAGACTGCTTTGTACTTGTAATAGGGGCTGTCCTGGGGCCAGTTGGATGTTGACCCGCCCACTTGTTTCTGGGCCAACTGCCTGCCTCTCTCGTCTGCCACACGTTGATGGAAAATGATTAAGATGTTACCCAGGCGGGAGGCTATTTTCTGCCCTGATGCCAGAGGGCATTATCTGTGGTTCCAAATTTTCCCTACGCTGCAGCCTATGCTTCACAGATGGCATCCAAGTCCTTGATGTCTCTGGCCCCCACACTGGGCCCCATAACCCTCCAGTCTGAACTCCAACTGGATCTCTCTGGTCAGGCAGCATATTCCACCCTCATTCTGGGCTGCTTAGCACCCTGCACTTTTCCCCATCTCGGGGGCGTGTGTGTGTGTGTGTCCCCAGACCTTTGGCCACACAGGCCCTGGCCTCATCTCCAAGGCCAGTCAGAACCCCGGGCCCTCAGCTCTGGGTGTCCTTTGTGGTGGGCCCCTGGCCCTTTTGACCCTTCTGGTCCTGGCCCCAGCATTGACCAGTTGAGGGTGTCTCAAGTCCGGCTTCTGAGCATCAAGCCCACACTTTTTCTAACACGGTTCTGCCTTCTCGGGCCCTACTGTGGGACTGCCCACCTAGTTGTGGGAGCTATGGTTATTAAGGTGCCTCAACCCACCTTTCACTGGGGTGGAAACTAGCCTGGTATTTCCTGGGGGCTCATATACACCAGGAGCCCCACCAGGTCAGCCATCCCTGACAGGGTGCAGTTTTAGGCCATGCCCAGGACCAAGAGCCTCCTAACCATCTCCATAAGCTCTTGCCCTTACCTTCTAGCTGTTTCTGAGCCTCTGCTCTGCCAGCTGATGTCTCTCTCATGGCTGCCAGCACCAAGCTGCTGCTTCACCCTCTATATATATATCCAGGGTCTCAAAATGGCTATCATACTCAAGCGTGTGGCTGCTGCCTGCTCCAGCCCTTAAAGTGGCAGGCACCAACAGTGCTTAGCCACAGTACTGCTGCCCAAGTCAGACTCTAAACCTTACCTTTTCACTTCTGTACTACAACTTGTTCAGAATTTTTTCTAATAGGCCTCTGAAGATAAGAATTTGGAACCTGAAAAAAGGGTTTTAAAATTGATCATTTTATTTCTGGTACCGTGTAACCTAGGTTACCATATTGCGTCCCTCAAACTTTCCAGATCTGGAGGACAATAATTAACACATGGAAAAGTCACTCATTTGGTGTGTCTGTATTTAAGATGGTTATCAGAGAAAGTCCAAGTTTTAAATAGATCAAAATTCTTTTGTTGCCTTAAGCATGTATGGGATAGATGTGTATGTAAAATCATACATTGCTTGTTGTAATTGATTTTTATAAGTCATTTCTTTCCTTTTTTTCTTTTTTTTTTTTTTTTTTTTTTTTTTTTTTTTTTTTTTTTACAGGTTACTCAGAATGATATTGTAATGGCTGAAAGACTCTTTGGCATTCTGGCATACGTAGCATCTTCTGAGTTTCCACGTTATCGCCTGCTTTTATTGCTTGGAGAGTCTAAGTAATGTCATTAATTATATACATTAGAAATGTACTAATCATAGAAATAATATTTTTATTTTAATTATAATAGATAAGTCAGTTGACCTCTTTTATGTGTTGTGTTAAATGTATCAACCAGCAAATTCCAGAAAAGCTTGATGCATTTCTTGGATAAAGTCAAAGAATTAAGGGTGAAAACACAAGTAGTACAATTCCAAATCTGTGTCGATAAGTGTCTGATTACACAGAAAATAATCACAGAAGTTTGATTTGTACATGATATTTCATGTACATGATACATTTTCTTTCATTGTATATATTTCTTTTTGTCATATGTTTCCAGTAGCTTCTAAGTCAGGGTGGTCCTAAGATTTCTGCTGGTACAGCTGTGTCAGGGATCACACTTTTTCCTATCAATGACTGAGGCCTCTGCCAGATGTGCAGGTAAGGCGTGATGGGATCCGATACATAATTCATACAATTATACTTCTTGACATGCCACACATGCATGGCAGGAGGTATGATTGTAGGATCATGTATCAGTTCCCATCACACCTTATTGCTGGTTAAGTGCAATGGTTACCCGCATGATCCGGGGACAACAGGGCAGACCCTACAGTGAGAGACTGCGGGACCTGAACCTATTCAGCCTCCACAAGAGAAGGCTGAGGGGGGACCTGGTGACCGTCTATAAACTCACTAGGGGGGACCAGAAGGGTTTGGGGGAGACGCTGTTTCCCCTAGCGCCCGCTGGCATAACAAGGAGTAATGGGCACAAGTTGATGGAGAGGAGGTATAGATTGGACATCCGCAAAAACTACTTCACAGTTAGGGCGGCTAGGAGCTGGAACCAACTTCCAAGGGAAGTGGTGCTGGCCCCTACCCTGGGGGTCTTTAAGAAGAGGCTGGATGCCTACCTGGCTGGACTCATTTGAGTCCCGTTTCTTGTTTTGGGGTTTTGTTGTTCTCCCGCCCTGGCGGGGGGTCGGGCTAGAAGATCTACTAGGTCCCTTCCGACCCTAAATCTATGAATCTATAGGTGGGGGAGCCTGGGCTTATAATCCTGGGCTCCGTTTGCACTGGCAAGTAGCAAGCTCCCATGGCTGGGAACCCCCTCGGTTGACCCAGGCTCCCAGCTGTGGGGATATAACATATACCCCTGAAGCTGGGGGCACCCAGTTAACAGGGCTCCCATGTTCAATTAATGGCATAATAGGAACCTGCCACACTTACTACACATTTTTTGTGGAATAATTTTATGGCTTATTTCTCCTTTTGTAATGCCATGAATTGGTTGAACATGTGGCCAGTCACAACATAAGACATGATTAACTGGTTAATGTCTTAAGTATAACATGTGGCACGGCCCTGACTGATGTAACAGGCCTAGCAGACAACACCCAGTGTAGGTACTGCTTTAACAGTAAAACTGTGCTTTTACTAACATAACCTCTTCTTGTTTCTGAGTTTGGCTTTCCCATACTAGGTGTAGTTTTGTGTGTATAGCTATGTCCACACTTGCAAGATGGAAAAGTAATGTACTTTGAGTAGGTGCTAAATGTCAGAGGCTTTGAATTCCAGTTTGCATGGGGAACACTTATGATATCACTCTCCATTGATTCATGCCAGCATTAACTCTTTGTGTAGACAGTGAAAATATTTTGTGTTTAATAAGATTACGAGGGTGAGCAAAAATACATTTTATTTTGGCTTGTACAAGAGGAGATTACCTAAAACAAAGGTAGGTCTTACATAGTTGTATTTAAGAGATCATAAAAAAAAAACTCTCATCAGGTACCACATTGGTGAAATTGGAAAGCTGTTTTTTCTAGGACACTTAGCTGAGTACTACTCAGCAGGTGTAGATGCAGTTGTCTTGCTTTAATCGCAGTGTAAGAAGGCTCATCTAAGTCCATATCTCAGTCCATATAGCCTGTATGTAGAGATACCTCTACACTGGGGCAAGCAAAGTTCAGCCTATGGGCCAGATCAGGCCTGTGGTGGACTGTATTTCCCAGTAACCCTGTCTGTGTCACTGTGGCTGTTTCCATGGGGACCCCAGCAGCAGCAGCACTGTAACAGCGTGGGGCCTGGTTTTCTGTGGAGACCAGTCCCAGTAGTGCTGGCAGGGTGCACAGCTGGGCAGGGAGTTGCTTTGGGGCTGGCATCTTTTGGTGGTGACAGTGTGGTCTGGGGCCAGGACAGAGGTGTGATCCACTGCTCATACACCCTGGGCAGCAGCATGCAGGCAGCGGATCACAGCTCTGCCCCGGCTCCAAACCACACTATCGTTGCTGCAGGATCCTGGCCCTGGAGCAGCTCCCATCCCAGCCATGCATTCTGCCAGCACTGCTGGAGCTGGTCTCCATGGAAACCCTGCTACTGCTGGGGTCTCCATAGAAACCAGCAGCAACAACGTGAGCAGGGTCTGCTGGCAAATGGAGTCCAGCTGCCGGCCAGATCCGCCATTTTGCCTGCCCCTGCTCTTCATAATACATACCTAGTTATGTACCTACTCAAGGATGTCAAACTCGCCCAACCCTGGGGGCAGGATCCAAAGCACAGAGTCATGTCATCTGGCTCACAGGGCCCAAAATTTACTAGTGGGGCAAGCAGCAGCAGCAGCAGTGTTTAATTGCCATGGCAGCTGCTGCTCATCTCACTGCCAGCTTTCCAACCTGTGGGCTGCCCACAGGTTGGAAATGTGGTAGTGAGATAAGTGAAAGCTCCCCTACTGTATCTGACACCTGAGAACTTCCTGCATTTCAGGAGGGAAGGTGGAGAACAGACCTGGAGAGAGGATGAGACTCCCTTGCTCAGTTTCCCCCTTATTCCATAGAAGCCAGTGCTCATACTTTTTTGTAACCACTCTTCTGTCAAGGTTCCTCCTTCTCCTCCTTAACCCTCATGTGCTGTACTCTGGGGTGCTTCTAAATGCTAAATTTTGTAATGTCCATGTAAATATTTGTAAACGTAAAAATAAATGGAAATTTAAATTGGTTTAGGGTAGGGAACTGAAAGAAAGGAAGGCCCAGAGGAGAGCATGAAAAAGAGGAGAGTGCAAGAGATGTGAGTAGCAGGAAAACATAGGTGAGGATCAGCATAGGGCAAGAGGAGTAGCACTGTGCAAGTGAAAAGGAGTTAGGGACTGTATGGTACTGTTGTCCACAATTCCCTACATTTCCTAGAGAAATGTAAAACAGCTAGGATCTATCAGATTGAGCGTTGTCCAGAAAAACCTGAAAAACCAAAAAAAACATTTACTGGTATATTAACATTTTGCAGTGCTTGGGCAAACTAATGATTATCCCTCAGGTCTTCCACGTGTATATATCGTGGCTTCCAGATGCAATAAACAAAAACCACATAAACCAAATGATCAAAGCAAAAATAAATGACATTACATGAAAGCATCTGTACTTTAATAAAGTTTCCAGTAATTAAAACCGTAAATCTTTTTATTGTCTCTTTCAGGAAGAAACAATGGCGTTATCTGCTAGAGGCAAAAGGAAAGAAACCTGGGACTAGCAGTGAAGAAAGTAGTGATAACAGAAGATTTGGCGGAGAAAATACAAGCCGTGCTATACTGAATTATACCACAAGGGACTTGCATACAGAAAAGCTTGAGGTAAATGTATTAGTGCAAATCTTGTATTCTGAAACATTTCAGCCAAGATGTTTAGGTGGTGGCTTAGTTTAATTTTAGACAGTTTTCATATTTTATTTGGCTGAAAAAACATTTTTCACTTTCACCAACTGAAGCAATTTTTAAACTTTACTAGAATCTATAATTATAGCAATCAGCAATTAGGGCTATGGAAAAATCTGTAAGTTAGAAACAAAAGAAATGCATATATTGTAAACAGAGTTACAACATAGATTAATTCCTATCTCGCATGTTAAGACATAGCCATCTTTGATCTCAGCAAAGGTCAGTCTTTGGCCCAATTGTTTACCAGGCTTTCCCTTTGTTTTCTTTATAACCCTTCCCTATACATAAGCAGATATGACGATCTTATTTATATGTATGGATCTCATTTGTATTGTGAACAATAATTTTATCATAGAAGAGACAAACTAAATGTTTTTTACAGTTTAAACCTCTTCAGGTTGCTATTAAGAGTTTACTACTTCAATGAAACTGCAACATTTGATTCAAATTCAGTGCATGTCAGTTTCTCTAATGAGAGAGCCTTTCTCAAAATTTGACACAAGCATTTTTTAAGGAAAGGTCACTAAAACTGTATTGTTTTAACTCTGTGTACAATAATGACCTGTGAAATTAGAAAAGGAAGACTTGCCTTTGTATCAAATATCTGTTTGGCTCTTCTGAAGATGAAGACTATATATATAACAGCTTATCATATTTATTTTCAAACATATATTAAGCGGTTCAAATTTATCAATGTAAAACCAGCATTTATACCAGTATACAAAGCTACCAGCACTGAGCCTCTTTATAAAACAAAAAATGCTACTCATGCAGAAAAGTTGAAGGATTATACATGGAGTGTACAAGTGTAGTCTTTGGTAATGAAATGTATCTAGAGGAATAGAATATGATAGGGATAAATTAGCACAGCTTTTCCAAGAAAAATGTATATTCTGTGTGCTAGAAAACTTCAAATCCTTTACATTGTCAGAAAATGTTGATACAGAACTTGTGGTGGGGAAGGGAAGATGACAGGAAATAGCTTTCTGAGTCTATTTCTTAGTCCTCTGTGAAAAAGTTGATAGCAAAGTGTCCTATGAATCGGTACTAGATTTAGTATTGGTCAGCACTGAATAGAGTGGTGGTTAAATGTGGTTATGTCCAGGCAGAAGAAGAGAAATGTACAATGGCTTAATGGAGCCCAAATTAAATTGTAATAAAATTGCAGGCTGGCTTGTTCCAACCAAAGTCTATCTTCTTTCAGCTCTTTTACCCAAAAGCTGTTCTTCTGGGGGAAAGAGTTTTCAGGGAGAACAGCATCTTTTTCATCTGTTTGTCCATCTTCTTTCTGTGGGACAGCCTCTAAAGCAGGTCTTATCAGTCTTGCATTAGGTGCAAGACTGTCGCCTCACTTGTCCTGCAGGTGTATGGAGTGTATAAACGTCACTGTGATGCCATAGACAATTAGTTGTAAACACTGGATTTTTCCAGTGATGTATTAGAGAAGACATGGCATGGTGTTATGATGGTGACTCCATATGTAGAGAGAGATCAAAAAGAGCAGAGCTCTGTTGTCTCAAAGGGGTAACGGTGGTCTTATAGTAGAGAGAATTCAATTAATTAATTAATTAATTACATTAATAAATGAAATGTGTGAGGTACTCATGTTCCCTTACCAAAGTAAGGCAATGTAAAAAAATAATAATTTTGTGATTTTACAATTACATAAAATATTTGTTTTTCTCTTAAAATTGTAGTTATTCACACCTTGTTGTTCTGTATAGTATTCCATATGTGGCTACAGATTTTACTGGGTATCATGAGGGAAAAGTAAGATAGGCTGTAACTGATAATTTCTGCTTCCCATCAATGGTAAACTGACATAACAAATGTTCTTAAATCAGACCTTATTACTGAAGATGGCAGGTTAGGATCATTGATGAATTTATTTTTTTCAAACTAGACAGCTGGAAAGTATTTGTTCTCCTTTTTCATCCATTAAAAGTATTCTGTGTTGCTTTGATGGGCCAGTGCATGACCTAATGTTTTTAGCAATACTGTAAATCAAATTGATTAGATATTTAGCACCAGTATAGTTGTTCAGACTTATAATGGCAATTTTATGGAAACCTGTCATAAAAAGGGATTAGTGTAATTGAAGTGCGACTTGTATATAGTGCCAATAATTACACAAAAAGTGTTTGTATCATGAAACCAGGTTCAAGAAGTTCAGATGACTTTGGTTCATACATTCTGTATTTCGTGTACTATGAATGCGCCAGCCTCTATCAGAGAAACTCTGGAAAAAGACATGCACAAGCTCATTTCCCCCTATTTTATTGTGCTTTGCTGCTGTTTGAGAAAGCCAGTGACAAAGATGCATTATTTCTGTCATTGCAGTTTCAGTTCTAAATTTTTTTTAAATAAATAAATTTATAACTTCATAGTTTCTGTAATTTATTACCACTGATTTTCTCTGAGGCAATAAAAATCTAGTGCTATTTAAAGGGAGTTAACTTGCACTTCAACAGTGAATATGAGAAATCTGTGAGTAGTTTAAATCATTATAATTTTGGATCTGTAGCACTATTCATAACAGCATAAATGAATGGCTGTATAATTTTAAATAATTGTATTTGTTAGAGAAAAGTGTTGGGTGTCCTGTCTTTATTCAAATCATCATTTTTTTTAAATTCATTAAACTACTGTAGCCAGTTACAATAAAAAGATTGCTGCTCTTCAGCTTTTCTTCTGATGTTGTCTTATGCAATCTATAATGGTTCTCCCATTCAGGAAATCAAGGAGCGAGAGAAATTTTGCCAGACATACATCCAGGACTTAGTGAAAGAAGCTGCTGACATCAATATGAAAAATGAGTCTTTACAGAAGCTATGGCCTCAGATGTTCATCGAGCTTGTCAGGGATGCGGTGATAGAAATACGCAATAAAAATTCCTACATGAGACTCTGCTTACAGCGGATCACTGATCAAAAATAGTAAAGTCAAGGTCTGATGTTCTGCAAGGTTTTGGTTTCAGTATTGTTTGTCGTGGTTCACAAAGATATAAAATAATAGAGTAGAAAATTACCATTACCATAGGCCCTTTTTTATGAAGGATGCCTTTAAATTTCAATGAGCTGTTTTCACAGTTAATGTTTCTCTATCATTTCCAAAACAAAAGTTTTCTTGTATAAAACTAACAATGCTTCCTAGGCTAAAGTGATGATATAGAAATAAGTTGACAGCTATGCCATGTTTTACTCAGCTTTTTGTTGTGGTTGCTGCTTCTCTAGTGTTAAAGCATTGATTTTAAGGAACAGTTTCACACTCTGCTTGCCTTATGTTTTTTACTAAACACTTTTAAATGGTTTCCTTTTTGACTATTTGCTGCTGTGTTTAAAAAAAAATTCACAGTCAAGAATATTTTTTTTATGAGCAAAGTTAACAGATTATTCTGTTTATACACCCTAAACCTGGTTATTTAAGAATTATTTAATAAAATTGAATACAAAATGCTATGTTGTCAGGTCAATACTGTTGTAAAAGTGTGTTTTACTAAGGTTAAACTAATCTAACATCTTCAACTAGATGTACTGTTGCACTTATTTTGATTTCAGGTAGTTTTCATCATTTTGCTTTTGGGTGCGCTATAAAGATGAATTCTGGTTATGTGTAAAATATCAGATCAAAGTAAAGTAAGGTGTACTTTTACATTTTACCTTCATTCTATTAAAACACACACATGATATTCATATAAATACAGTTTATTTTTGCCTAACATTTAATAAATGCAGAATTTCCCATTCATTTACTGTACTTTGATGAAACTAATTGTGGATAAATCATTAAAGTTAATTGGGAAAAGAGGATATTTCCATATTAATTCATAGGACCAGATTTTCCAGGGTATTTTGTCTTAAAGATGCAGGGAGGTGTTTAATAAGACTCTCCAAAAGTACTGAAAGAGATTAAGCATGCAACTTCAAATTAGTAGGTGTTGGGCACCCAGCCTGTTCAAGCACTTTTTGAAAATATTACATAACATTTATTCACCCAAATGCCTTTACATTTCTGTTCCGTAACAACATATCATAGATAACC